CACCCAGGTGCCCCTGTACACCCATTTTCTTTATTTATTTATTTATTTATTTTTTTAAATTTTTTTTTTTCAACGTTTATTTATTTTTGGGACAGAGAGAGACAGAGCATGAACGGGGGAGGGGCAGAGAGAGAGGGAGACACAGAATCGGAAACAGGCTCCAGGCGCTGAGCCATCAGCCCAGAGCCCGACACGGGGCTCGAACTCACGGACCGCGAGATCGTGACCTGGCTGAAGTCGGACGCTTAACCGACTGCGCCACCCAGGCGCCCCTATACACCCATTTTCATGTGTGCCAAGTTCCAAAAGTTTTTGGTCTGTGAAAGAGAATATTTTAATAAAATATTTATAGTGCTAAGTTAACTATAAAATAAGCATATAGAAAATAATCCGAAGAAAACACTGCATTTAAGTTGAGGAAGAAAAGCAGAATGAAAAATTGTCTTTTTCAGATGGGATTTGTATGGAAATTATCTGTAAACCAAGGTCCTAAGGGGCCAGTGGGAACGTGAGATTGTACATGACAACACAGTAGCATCATAGATGATAGTAAACATCTGTTGTTTTTATAAAGTCTTCTGTGCGGTGTATCCCAATCTCAATTTTAAAACGGAATATGGAGGGCGCCTGGCTGGCTCAGCCAGTAGAGCATGCAACTCTTGATCTTAGGGTTGGGAGTTCAAGCCCCATGTTGAGGATAGAGCTGATTTTTAGAAAATAAACAAAAATATTAAAAAATAAAATGGAATATTGGCATCCATATTCCAGAAGCTTCTTGATAGATTTGATTATGATGATGAGCCAGAAGCTGTGGAAGAATCAAAGAAAGAAGATGCTGCTGCCGCCGCAGCCGCCGCTGCTGCCGCCGCCGCCGCCGCCGTCACGGCACCTGCTGTGGCTGTTGCACCAGCACCTGCTGCTGCCACACCGGCTGCCACGCCTGCCGCTTCCCCTCCTCAGGCACCCTTGTAAGTGTCTTTTTTTCTGTTCCACAGGGGATTCAGTGGGAAACATGATGCAAGTAGAGTTGGCCCTTGCACAGCGTGGCGTTGAGGTGATGACCCACGCACAGTCAAAAATCCATGGTAGAACTTTGCCTCCCCCAAAACTTATATAGCCTACTGTTGACCGGAAGCCTAACCGGTAACATGAACAGTTGAGTAACGCATATTTTGTATGTTGTATGTATTACGTACTGTGTTCTTCCCAGTAAAGTAAGCTAAAGAAAAGACAACGTTAAAATCATAAGGAAAATATGTTTACGGTACTGCACTGTCGACAAAAAAATCTGTGAATAAGTGGACTCACACAGTTAAAGGTGATGTTGTTCAAGGGTCAACTATAACTTTAGTAACAAAATCATTTTTCATATAGTTTTTTAAAATTATATTTTGGGTTTTCTCTTGGGAGGAGATCCTATCAGATTTACAGTTAAAAATGGCTTTTATGTTGGGAATAATGCTGAGTATATAAATTAATGTGGGCAAGTACCTGATTCAGTAAGATGTTGATTATTGATGACTCCTGAGCAACATTCGTAATGTCTCTGTAGTATAAATGTGGCTAAGAATCTTACGTGTTTTTGAACGGATAAAAGATAACTCATCTTTTTTTAGTGGGTTTCCTGGAGATGGCATGCAGCAGCCAGCATATACACAACATCAAAACATGGATCAGTTTCAGCCTCGAATGATGACAATACAGCAGGATCCAGTGCACCATCAGGTACAGCTGAGTTTTAATAAGTGAAGATCTGTTCATTAGAGCATATGGATTGTGTTTCACAGACCACTATTTAGCTGTGTGTTTGGCTTCGTAGTACTGCAGCTGCAGTCAAAGCCGATGAGCATGTAATTGAGTTATTTTTTTAAAACTTTAATTAAAACAAGGATGCTAAATACTACATCCTTATATATTTTAATAGTAAGTATTTTTTGTTAAAATTGTTTAGGGTGAGATTATGGCTCTGTTTCAGGGAGTTAGCCTGCTTAGTTGTACACTTCTCCCTCGTGAGGAACCTTTTTTGGGGTAAATGTTAAGATGCTTTAGAGGGTTTTCAGCTCTCACATTCAGAAGTATAGTGTGAAATCTGCAGTCAGGGGAGCATAGCACACTGGAGAATTGGAAGAAGTTAGGTAGAGATTTATTTGTTCATTGGGTTTATTTTAGTAAATCCTCTATTCAGAGTTTCCTAAACTTGACTACGCCGCTAAATTATAGTTGTCGGGATCCAGGCTAAAGCCAATCTAGAGAATCTGTATATTTTTTTTAATTGTATACTACTTTGTAGCCTTATTTAGAAAGGGCTCTAAGAAATTTCTTCAGAGGATATTCATTTTCTTATGTACATTGTGTTTGGTCCATTCTATAATTCGGTAATATGAAAATGATACTATGATTTTGATGACTTATTGATGAATGAGGTTTGAGAAGTTTTTTATAAGCCTATTTAAAGTCTGAAGAAAACCTGGTGCACTTATTTCCAAATGTTCCAATTAAGAGTTACTGAAAATTTAAATTAGAAGGAATACTTCTTTGTGACAATTACGATTATACTTTTAATTTTGTTGGTATTGGACCAGCACATGCAGAAATATGTTACGTTGTGGCTTATTCGCATTATTATTATGATATTTTAAGCCCAAAAAGTAGGCATGTTAGTTGAAACATCCCTTGGAGTAAATTTTTAAAAAGTGAACCTGTACACATCATTGCTGTAGCCACTCCCCCTCCCAGAAGGCTTAGTTAATTGCCTTTGAGGTTGAAGGGAGATAGTTTGCAATACAGTACCTCTCTGATTTTTAAGTTTAGTCTGTCACTATTGTTCCTCATATAAATGAAATCACGTCTTTAAATCTATAAAGTCAAACCTTTTTATAATTTTTAAATGAGTTATAGGATTTTTGACCTATATACTTGGATATGTAACAGTTCTTCAGGTAAATATTATACCTATGGAAATTGTTAATCATTGCATCTCACTACAGTTTTCCCTTGATGAAAATTTATTGAAGATGTTTTAGGTTTTTTTTTTTTTTAATGTTTATTTATTTTGAGAGTGCACACACAAGTTGGGGAGAGGCAGAGAGAGAGGGAATCACAAGCAGGCTTTGTATTGTCAGCACAGAGCCAGACATGGGGCTTGAAACCATGAACCCATGAACCAGGAGATCATGACCTGAGCCGACATCAAGAGTCGAACGTGCAACCAATTGAGCCACCAAAGCACCCCGAAGATATTTTAGTTGTATATCAAGTAACTAAGGACTTTCTTAATTATTTTTGGTAGCTGTTATTTAAAATCTACTCATATGCTTTCTTTAAATTCAAAAGGTTCCACTTCCTCCTAATGGACAGATGCCAGGTTTTGGCCTTCTTCCTACACCTCCATTTCCTCCCATGGCTCAGTCTGTGATTCCTCCAACTCCACCCGTGCAGCAGCCTTTCCAAACTTCTTTTCAGGCTCAAAATGAACCACTTACACAGAAGACACATCAGGTAAAACTGTATTCTCAGATTGATGATCTTTTTGGTTGCTTCAGCTTATGTGCAGATTCCTGCCTGTTTGCTTGTTATCTTCATTTTTGAATGTGGAGAAAGACTTTGTTGGGCACATATTAACCCTCTCTGTGCCTAAAGTTTTTCATCTGGAAAGTGGACATAGTAATACCAATTTCCATAGGATTCTGTGAGGATCGAGATAGAATGTAGAATACTTAATCATTGCCTAGTTTACTGCTGTAGTCAGTGGTTTATTAAAACAGTATATGACTTATACAAATTTCCAGATGTGTTTGTTTCTTCTAATCTTGTAAACCATATGAAATTTTTTCCCTGCTGATGGACAGTCATTATTAAATTAGTAATGTGATGTCAAGTAACCAGAATAAATCTTATTTCAGAGCAAGAGAAATTTTGTAAGTTAGCAATTTTTAGATTTTGTCTTCTTGCCTTTACAATTTCCACTTTTCTCATTTAATGATGGGTGGTTGTTTTTGGTTTTGGTTTTTTAAAGGAAATGGAAGTAGAACAACCTTGTATCCAAGAGGTTAAGCGACACATGTCTGATAACAGAAAGTCAAGATCTAGGTCAGCATCCAGGTAATTGATAGAAAATGTTTTTCCAATCCTGTATGTCTTAGGAGACTAATTAAAATCAAACTGGATTATTTTTAGATATGCAGTGTTAATAAAATAACATTTGGTATATTTGTATGTCTGTATGTGTAGAATGGGGGCAGAGGCAGTAATAAAAAAAAAAAAAAACAACTAAGGTTGGTCATCTCACCCATGCTTTTCCCCTTGAGTTGCTGTAATCGCTGCATACAGCTATACATAGAATGGTAAGAATTATGTATTCACAGTTCCTTCACAAGTTTATTAGCTGACAAAAATGGGAAGATAATAAGTAATACTATAATCAGGTAACATTTTTAATTGCTGCAGAAAAGAAGTTAACTGAGAAGATAGATATCAATAGTAGAAGTGTATCCCAATGATGACCGCTTCTAACACTACCAGTATGTAATTCAGTCTAGTACCGAATTATCGAAGATGAGAGATACTTTTATATGCTAGTAACCTTATTTATCTCATTTTAAGTATATGCATGCTTTCTAACTTTCAACATATTAAAAATGTTTAAAATGAATTCCCTGCTCCTGAATTATTACATATCCAAACATTAAACTATCTAGTTTTATATATATATGTATATTTTTTTTTTCCAGATTAACACCTGCTTACCTTTTTTGTTTTTTTTTTCTCATGTTCTACTCATTCTCTCCCTCATGAAAATGTTAGGTCACCAAAAAGAAGGCGATCTCGATCTGGCTCTAGATCGCGAAGGTCCCGTCATCGACGTTCTCGTTCTCGGTCCAGAGATCGACGCCGACATTCGCCTAGATCTCGGTCCCAAGAAAGGCGAGATCGAGAAAAAGAAAGAGAACGCCGACAAAAAGGCCTTCCTCAAATCAAACCAGAAACTGCAAGTGGTAAATTAAACTTCTTGCATTATTTTTTTTTGTGTCCTGGGTTTAAAATGTTTTCTAACTGATAGCAAAATACTATTTTATCGTATCTTGTTTGTGTTTTGGTGTATACCCTTGAGTTTGCTTTGATATGTTAAGCCAGCTGTAAAGCAGCAAATAGGGAGTGAACCAAACTAATAGTGATGAGGAATAAAATAATAGCATGTTTTGGGGCGCCTGGGTGGCTCTGTCGGTTGAGCGTCCGACTTCGGCTCAGGTCATGATCTCGCGGTCCGTGAGTTCGAGCCCCGCGTCGGGCTCTGTGCTGACCGCTTAGAGCCTGGAGCCTGTTTCAGATTCTGTGTCTCCCTCTCTCTGACCCTCCCCCGTTCATGCTCTGTCACTCTCTGTCTCAAAAATAAATAAACATAAAAAAAAAATAAAAAATAATAGCATGTTTTTAATGTATGGAATAGAAAGCACTTAACTAGCTCTCCTATACATAATAGCAAGGTTCTCCTTTTTTTCCAGATTAACTAATAACCTCTTTTATAAAGATACAGTTTTACAGACTATATTATCTCCTGAATTTCATTATGTATTTAGAATATGTTTAATATGGTATGCTAGACACATTTTTTTTTTTAATTTTTTTAATGTTTCTTTATTTTTGAGAGAGAGAGGGAGAGACAGAGCATGAGCATGGGAGGGGCAGAGGGAGGGAGACACAGAATTCAAAACAGGCTCCAGGCTCCAAGCTATCAGCACAGAACCCGACATGGGGCCTGAACTCAGAAACTGTGAGATCATGACCTGAGTCAGAGTCGGATGCTCAACCGACTGAGCCACCTGGGCACCCCTAGACACGTTCTTGGTACAAGTTTGCAGTTATTATTGAAATTTTAATTTATAATACAAAGAGGGCATATGTAAAACTTCTGATTCTATAAGATTTATTACGTAGAACACAGCATAAGAGAAAAACCATCGTGTACACTCGATGGTCAGAAAGGGACAACTGTAGCAATGGACAGAAGCACTAGACTGGTTGTTGATCAAGAGAGCTGGGATCGGGTCTTCTCATGGCCTTGGGCAGGTTATTGTGTCTCTGGCCTGTTTTCATAGATGAAATCTTTAGATCTGTCCACAAAAGGGACAGAATTTTTCAACTCTTATGTTATTCACCATCCTACTCCCATTTCTGGAAGTACTACCACAATTTTCTAGAGTTTTTTTAGATGTATATAGGATTTGCTACTTAGCCTTATGATATCCTGTAACTTGTGCATTTTTTCTATAATGACCTTTTTCACTGTAGAAAAGTACAGTGCTGCCCATTATCAAATGTGTATATTTTTATGATTATAATTTTATTTCAAGTTTGTAGCACTACACTCTGGGTGGGACAGCTGGACAAACGGACTACTCAGCAAGATGTTGCAAGTCTCTTAGAAGAGTTTGGTCCAATTGAATCAATTAATGTGAGTGTTTATGTTTAATGTAGTGACAGTGGATGGGTGTGATTAATGCCATTTTATAAAATTAAGGACTTGAGGCCCAAGTTAAAATTTGCCCAGCTTTGTAGTAGATGTGGCTAGAGTATAAGTGTTGAGTCCATGTTTAGCATCCTCTCATTTATTTAACCACATTTCTTGGACAACCAAGTTTAATTTAAAACCTTTCTCTAGAAAAATCTGTGTTAATAAAACTTGGAGAACCATAGGTTTATTAAAAGTCGATAGTTGAGACCAAACTTGAATTTGCCAATTTATAACAAGTTAATCTCAGATGATAGAATCCTGGCTTCGTGGGTAGGTAATGGGCAGGGGAGTTGGGGTTGTTGGAACTAGTTATTTAGTATTTATTTTCTCTTGTTGCTCTTTGATTTTATTATATTTTGTAATATTAAAATGTTTTGGAGCAGATGATACCTCCCAGAGGTTGTGCCTATATTGTTATGGTTCATAGGCAAGATGCTTATCGCGCCCTGCAGAAACTGAGCCGCGGAAACTATAAAGTGAACCAGAAATCCATAAAGGTACATTTTTATCCCTTGTAATTCATTTTTTAAAAAGTTAACACAGAATATTACTTGGCTTTTTAAAAACTTATTTTGGACACTAAGGCATTTCATGTATATCTATTTAAGAGGTTGTATCTCCTAAAAGTTAACATAAAGTTTAAAATCTTTAATTTAACTTAATTTAATTTAAAATGTTAAATGTTGGGGCGCCTGGGTGGCGCAGTCGGTTAAGCGTCCGGCTTCAGCCAGGTCACGATCTCGCGGTCCGTGAGTTCGAGCCCCGCGTCAGGCTCTGGGCTGATGGCTCGGAGCCTGGAGCCTGTTTCCGATTCTGTGTCTCCCTCTCTCTCTGCCCCTCCCCCGTTCATGCTCTGTGTCTCTCTGTCCCAAAAATAAATAAAAACTTTGAGAAAATAAAATGTTAAATGTTTATTTGCAAGATTGTTTTGGATTTTACACATTTTAGTTTTAAAGTTTGCCATCTCATTCTTAGAGTAAACGAAAATATTCAACAGAGATAAAGATAATAGGTACATTGATACTCTTCCCCTAAGGGGCCAGAGTCAGCATTTCCTCAGTTATGTACCCTTGGATGATTGTGGTGCAAAAGGATTTTGTCTAATCTTAAATAATTTCAAAGTACCCAAGACTTTGGAAAGTGGTCCCCAGTATGCTGGGCTATGCAGGAAACCTCAGCCTTTCCCCAATAAACATTATTTTCCTTTTCTTTTTTATGTTTTATGTCAGTAGATTGGGGAGTGAATGGTTGGAGGAGTGGATAAGGAGGTGATGCCAGTTAAATTTCCACCAGGACAAAGTAGGAGAAAAGGTTAACCAATTAACTAGCATCGAAGGGAGATCCAGGGATAGGTCAGATTGCTCCCTTGTTGCCCAAATCTGAGTGATTAGAAATGTGAGGAACGGTTAATTCTCAAAACTGACGTTTTTTCCCTGTGCTTTCTTTTTGTATTTTAACTAATGGTGATATAGATTGCCTGGGCTTTAAACAAAGGAATAAAGGCAGATTATAAGCAGTATTGGGATGTAGAACTGGGAGTTACTTATATTCCATGGGACAAAGTCAAGCCTGAAGAACTGGAGAGTTTTTGTGAAGGAGGAATGTTGGACAGTGATACACTTAATCCAGGTAACGCAGTATTTAATTTCTTTTAAAATTCATCTGTTTTCTTGATAAGGCATGTGAAAAATGTTTATTCTTTGCTGTAGGGATTTTTGAGATTTTTCAAGTACCCACTATGTGCCATTCTCTCCATTAAAAATGAGGAAACCATGGTGAATAAGACAGATGTGGTCTTTGCCCTTAATGCAACTTACATTTAGTGGGATAGATTCAGACATAAGTGAAATAATACTGATTGTGGAGTTAATCATTAATTTCAGTATTAAGTAGATCTTAAATAGAATTTTTCGCTGTGAAAAACGTAGCAGATCCAAATGAGTCTTAAACTGAACATTACTGGTATTGTTTTCATCCAGTGTTTCATAATAATTTCTTTGAAAGCATTTAAATGTCCAGAGAAACAATTGAAAGTAAACATGTAAGGCAAGAAGGTAGTTACCTGTGGCATGAATATTAAAAATTCAGATTGACAGTAGGATTACAGTGGGGAAAATAGCAGCATGTGAGGGCATGACCTGGAGACTGATAGATAGCTGGACAAGGAGTGCAGGGTGGTGTGCCAAAATAAAATAAGCGACTAAAGGAGTTTCAAGCAAGCAGAGTTGGTTTGAGAGCCAAAAAGAGGTGGAACGATGTCGAGCCATTCCCATACCTTGACTTCTTTCCCCACAGTGCGTGATGCCTTCACTTAAGGGGAGAGCTAGGTTGGAACTCCTGGGTGGCACAGTCAGTTAAGTGTCCGACTCTTGTCTTCAGCTCAGGTCATGATCTTATGGTTTTTGTGAGTTCCAGCCCCCCGAGTCTGGTTTCTGTGATGACAGTGCGGAGCCTGCTTGAGATTCTCTTTCTGCCCCTCCCCTGTTTGCTCTCTGTCTTGCTCTCTCTTTCTGTCTCTCTCAAATAAACTTCTTTTAAAAAGGGCAGGTAGAGCTAGGTTTCCATTCACGCAATAGGTATTAGGGGTCTACTGTGTGCCAAACATTTTGGCACAGGCTCTGGTCAGGGTGCAGAGAGTCTTGCTCCTCCCTCCGGGGATCTTTAATCCAGACAACACACCATCATGGTTAAGAACATAGACCTTGGAGCCAGATGTGTGTATGTTGAATCCCATGTCTGCCACTTGTTAGTATGTGACCTTGTTTTCCTCAGTTTCCAAATTCTTTTCCTCACTTATAAAATGGGAATGATCATGGGACCTACTTCTAGATGGTTATGAGAATTCATTGGATTAATATATATATAAAATGCTTCAAACTGTGTCTGACACACAATAAGCATTCTTTTGCGTGTTATTATTCATTCATTTAAATAATATAAGATTAGCATAAGCATTTCTTTAGTAAATCAGACTGCTGATTTTTTTATAGAATCATTTAAAAATTCTAGATTTAAAGTTATAAAAAATTGTCAATTTTTATTGTTAAATTTCTTTAACTCATAGATTGGAAAGGAATCCCCAAGAAGCATGAAAATGAAGTTGCTCAAAATGGAGGGGCAGAAACCTCACATACAGAACCAGTATCACCTATACCTAAACCTTTACCAGTGCCTGTCCCTCCTATTCCTGTGCCCGCACCTATAACAGTGCCACCTCCACAGGTAAGAACATTTGGGGTGTTATTTAAACTTGTAAGTGTCTGAAAGGTAAACTTTTCTAAATCTTTTTATAGATGTATGTCTAGGTCAGTGTTCAAAGACGTGAACACATAAATGTGCATATTAATAGTATTTTGGTATGTCAGACCTACTGTTTATAAACTAACACATTTTTTCATAAACATCAGTAAAATCAATTCATACCGCCTTACATCTATCTAGGTTATTTAGTGTCTTTATAATGTTTCAGACTTGAGATGCAAACCTGATGGCATTTCTTGTATTCCGCTTCCCCTTGTTTTCTTTTATTGAATCTTTATTCTTTGGTGGGGGTTTATGTTCTGAGAGAACTTGGATATCCACCCAACAAGCAGCTGTTTTGAGAGAAAGAGAGTCTCTTAATCTTCTAGTTTGGGCGGTGCTATCATGAAGTTTTTTAATGGATGAGTGAGAGCTATTTAATAAATTGAGTGCTATTTAACACAAAGGTATATTCATAAACCTCTGCTGTGTGGTCAGTGAGTGCATTTATGACGTAGGAGGAGACAAACTGGATTCTGACAGAATGTAGTTTGAATCTCAGCTCAACTGTTTATTCACAGCAATGTGACATTGGGCAGATCACCTACCTAATCTAAGCTTCAGTTTCCTATCTATAAATGCACAAGTTCCCTTTCCTGGCTTTGGCTCCGGTGTTCTTCCTAGGTCAGAGTTGTTTTGAGGCTTAAATGAGATCGTGAATGTTAAATACTCAGCATGTTTCCTGTTACATAATAAGAGCTCAATAATGAACAACCGTTTGGTAAAAATTTTAAGTCCTTGACCCACAGTGTTATGATCTGTTAGGTTTTTCTTGTTTTCAGTACCTTTTTCAGTTTCTCACATTAAATCTGAATCAGATAAATCTGAGCTGTCACAAAAGTGGGTTACCTAGCCTCTTGATTTTCCCAGTGTAAGGAGAAAATTACATGCTCTGATACATACTTAGTGGTGACATTTTATAAATAGATTCCCTACATTGACAGACTCGTTATTTGATCTTTTGGACAGGCCCTTCCAGCACAAGTTCTAAATAAGATTCAATGTATATATCACCACTCACTTAAAGAAACCTGACTAATCTGTTAAAATTTTTCAGAGTTTTTTTTTTAATAGCTAACATTTGTAGGGTGTTTATTAAGTGACAGACACTAGCACTTAACATGTATTCCCTCTTTAATCCCTATTACTATGTGAGGTTGACATTTTTTCATTTTACAGATTAGTAAACTGAGGTCTAGAGATTGTAAATAGCTTACTCAAGGTCACAAAGCTAGTTAAAAATGGGAAAGGGGCAGGCAGTTTCACCCCAGGACCTGTGATTTTAATCACTGTAAATTGCCAGGTAGCTTTTCTTAGAGTTGTAGTTATCAAATTTACTAACCTGACCACGGAACATTTTTTAACATATAGGATATTCTGTCAGAACACCAGTAGATGCTTGTGAGATGCAGTGTGAATTTGCTGTCATAGAGACCAGAAATTTGATGACTGTCATTTAGAGTAGGTACTAATTACCACCTGTTACTAGATAAATTTACTCACATAATCACAAATTTCGAAATATCTTTTTCAACAAGATCTTCATCTCAACTTACTGTATGGATGGGAGGGTGGCTAGATATGTGGCTTCATTATTCTTCCTTTGTCTTTAGGTCCCACCACATCAGCCGGGTCCTCCTGTAGTTGGTGCTCTCCAGCCACCCACTTTCACGCCTCCCTTGGGCATTCCTCCTCCGGGTTTTGGTCCTGGTGTTCCTCCTCCACCTCCTCCTCCACCATTTTTGCGCCCAGGATTTAATCCGATGCATCTGCCACCAGGTACCGTGAGTTGTTCAAGAAGACATTCTTTTTAGAGCCCAAGATTAGTTGGCACAACATAAGTTGACATTATTTTTCTTATTGTAGGTTTTCTTCCTCCTGGACCCCCACCTCCTATAACTCCACCAGTATCCATTCCTCCTCCTCACACTCCACCAATAAGCATCCCAAACTGTAAGCATGTTTTTCTTTTGTGTTCACTAGTCCTCTTGGAGTTTGGGAGTAGGAGGGGAGAGTGGACCAGTAACAGGGTCTAGAGTGTGGCAAAAGAATGTTGATTGGGGAGATAATTATTCAGCTTCACATGTTGATGTAATTATATTCCTTAGCTACTATCGCTGGTATAAATGAAGACACTACAAAAGACTTATCTATTGGAAATCCCATTCCAACAGTGGTGTCTGGGGCTAGAGGAAACGCCGAGTCTGGTGACAGTGTGAAAATGTATGGCTCTGCTGTGCCACCTGCTGCACCCACGAATCTGCCCACCCCTCCTGTAACGCAGCCTGTTTCACTTCTTGGTAAGTTGATTTTTTATATCATTAGTTTTTTTTTCCCCACCCGAGTTAGGTTTTTTTAAAGAACAATGCTAATTTCTTTGAGGAAGATCTTCCTCTTAAATACGTGCACTTGGTCTTTACCAAGAGTAGCCCCAGAGACAGCCTCACAGATGAAATCATGTTCGTCCTGAATAAAAGTGTGGATTTGTACATCTTAATTTGGTATAGGAAAGTGATTAATCTCTGAGAGAAGGAATTGGTGCAAAGTCCATGACTGATACGACCCCAGACGTTCAGCTTTATAAAGAGATAGGATTTCTTTGACAACAGAATTTTTTCCTGTCTGGACCAATTTTTCTAAAACCCTGGGCTGTAGTAGCATTCTCTGTTGGCTAGCAGAGAACTTCTCTTAGGTACATGTAATAAAATGGCTTTATTGTCTGAATGACATTTGTACAGCCTAGGGTAATGCTTTCTCATTGACCCCTCAGTTTTCTCCTGCTAGTTTTATCTGTTGGACTTTTTACCCACAATTTTACTGCCACGATCAAGGGAAGTGTGATTTAGATTATTTACGTCTTTAAGAGGCTTTACTTTTGCTTGAATTATAAATGATTATTTTATATACACTTGTTATATTTTATACATTTGTTATAGTTATTAATCTATTACGTTAATAAATTCCTGTATTTTGAAAGTGGTTTTGCCAAGTATAATTAACACTTGATTCTCCTAATGGGTAGTTAGATTATACTAAGGTATAATCCTTAGTATTATAACATTCTAGTCCTGTGAGCCCATTCTATTTTTCAGAGGTATATGTATATGTACATATGTGCTTTCATAATCTTAGATTTTTTTTTTTTAGGAGAGAGCACATAGTTGCCTCTGAGAGGTAGGACTATGGGACATTAGGACTATAGGACATTAGTTTGTGATGTAGGACTTCTGCTTTTCACTTAAACCTTTCAGTGCTGTTGGAAATTTTTACTTTGTGCATATACTATATTTATAATAAAAATCAATTTGTTTTTAAATGGCATGCTGTCTTCTGCCCTCTCTGAGACTGAGCTTAGTCCGATAATAAACTTGATTTTTATTTCCTTTAGTACGCAGGCTGGGTAATGGTGAAAGAGGATTAGGGATTAAAATTTGTCACCAGTAATGTAGCAATAGTTATCATAATGATGGAAAATAGTTTGTTTAATGAGGAAGTTGCTTAAGGGGTCTACACTATAATGAAAATCATGTAGTAGAGGAACATTGTTCTAGGATCCAGGAGACCTTAACGTCTTTGGATATCAGTTTTGTTACGCATTTTGTTTTTTCATATTTGCACTAAGATGGTTACATAAGAATCACAGAATCTGAGTTGGCTAGACTTTTCTGATCAAACCCTTTTCTCCACATCACACCAACACCCATGATTATAAATTCTCTTTGTAGTGAAAATTCCTAGTCTAGCATCCCATGGATATTAGGCCACCTGAGAGTATCTACAAAATGGCATGCATTTGTGCTTTTTTTTTCTGGTCTTAGTAAACTCACTGAATGAACGATTTCTTCATCCCTAAGAGTTTAATAACCACTACTTTCAAACAAACGTAAAGAATAAGTAGCCTGCTTCTGATTTAACATTTAGGTCTTGACGGCTCTGCCCTTTATTTTACAACTGAAGTGCATAGTTTAAACTCTGCATCCAACATGTGAAACAAAATAAAGCACAGATCAAAAGTTGGTGAGCTTGAAAAGCAAACTTAGTAAGCTAAGCACTTAGCATTTATCATTACCTGGCATAACTGTGTGTGTGTCTTTCCCTCCTTCCCTCTCCCAGATACATACTAGAATGAAAACTCCATGAGAGAGGGACATTTGTTACTTGAATAAGTAGATAGATAGATGGTTTTCAATGCAGGGCTGTTTATACTTCACTTCTTTGTCTATAACTTTCATAACAAAACTTAGAAATTAAAGGCTGTTCCAAATCTGGAAAGACTAAAATGTGACATAACATAAAAGTGAAAACTTCTGTTACAATGAGTACTTTCAAGTAAAATGCAGTTGTTTAGTTCCAGTCAAGAAAGAAAGACTTTTGTGTCCCTTCAACTAGAAATCTTGAAAAGAATATCCCGTAGATTTTGACCTTTTAGAGAAAGGAGACCTTAATGCATGAGCAAATAAAGGAGGATTTATCCAAAAGAGTAATCATAGTTGCATCATTTTGATAAAGGAATGCAATAATCACATGCAGTATTGCAGCACTGAAGGATGGCTGATCAGGGTGGGATGTTGTTGCTGTTAACCAGGTTCACAGAATATTAGAACTAAGATGGTTTCAAGTTTCCTCTTGGTGCTCTAATGTTTTCTCTTATGATAATAAAAAGAAATGCTGTGCTGTACCAGAAACCTTTAAGCCTAGAAGGGGATATGAAACTTCAGTTTCTTCATCTGTTTTAAAAAAAAAAAAAAAAAAAAAGGAATAAAAATGACACACCAGGGTGTTGTGGTGATTCACTGGGCCTGTGTATATAAAACAACTGACACACGGAGCCTGCCACAGGGTAGGCTGTTCATGAATGGTGGGTGCTTATTACAGGTAAGGAGTGTTCTAAGTGATACTTAGAATACCTAGAGAAGAATATCTATACTTTGAAATTCGAAAATTATATCACTTTAGCCATGATTCGTTTTAAATTGTTTTGTTTGTTGGCAGAGGAAGCAAGCTTTTTAGGAAAAAATGTATCTTGACATAGTTGCCTTAGATCTTTTCATGGGAGATTAGACCAGGTCAGAAATTCACACATATTAAAGTTCCATCAGTTGTACTGAGAAAATATATGCCAGTCATAGTGGTATTTCACTGAACTAGCACAATATGATATCTATATTCTTCTTATTAACAGTATTCAGATAATTTTCTTGTAAGGGGAGGTGAACCTATCCTCGAGACTTAACTGAGTTCTTGGATTTAATTACTGAAACATGGTAATAATGATACTTTTAAAGTAGCGGGGACCAAACAAATGTTCAACAGATCTCCCAAAACTTAGTAGTAAGGCTGATTATACTGGGAGGAGGCAGTGAGTGCTGCAAGGATGCTTTGGCTTAAGGAATTTTCTGAGTGATCAGATGTAAGTGTGGGGTGTTGGTCTGGAAGTGAGGACTACCTGTTTCTGGAGTTGGGCCGAGGTAGCCCATGCTACCGTGTTTGTAGAGAACTAAACCTCCATGTTGTAGGGATTCTGATTATTTTAGTAACTGATAATCTGAAAATATGAAGTTATATGATGCACGATAATAATTCATTATCACGTCATTTTAAAGAAATCCATTCTTAGTCCCTCACACACCAAGATAGCTAGTTAGAATAGTGATGGTTTCATAAAAGCTGTTGGTAACTGTCTACAGTGGTTGATCATTTAGGAGAGAAGGAATATTAATGATAATAGCAATTCAGTTTATTCTCTTTACTGTATAAGTGTATGTGTTTACTTTTCAAAAACTTTTGTATAACATGTATCTCTAATATGTATAGCATTTTTATTAAAAAAAAAAGTGCATTGTAAATGTGAAATTTGGGTTATTACTTTGGTGTTCCAGACAATAAAAAAGAAATACACAAAAAAATGTTTGTTTGTGTTACATATCTCTACTCTGTTACCAGTATATCCAGAATATCTTTTCAAGGAAAAATTATGGTAACTTGGACTCATTCCTTTTGTGGAAAATTAAAGCCTTTTCTCTTGTCAGATACATGTATTCATTAATTATTAATATGCAGATTCTTCCTAATTTTGTCACACTGCTGTAGATGATGGTGAAATTTGTAAGAATTGGGTAGTTCTAAGATTGCCTCCTACTTACTGGTATTTTTTGTTGCCAAAGATCTAAAGCAGAAGTCACAAATTGGTGGCCTCCAGGCTGAATTGTTAGACACTGGTGTGATGCCCTTCAGGCTTGATTCTACACATCCCTGCATGAACTCAGTAGGCATTTGAGTCAGTGTTCCCAAATTTGGACACTTCAAGAAATTATGTGCACAGAATTGGTTTGGAATTATCAAACAGGCATGTTTGCTTTATTGTAATAGTTATGATCCTTACAACTGCCTAGAAGGTGAATAGTTTTACCATCACGTTCTATAATTACTTTAAAATTGATACTTGATTTGTGGTGATTTCACTTAGCTTGGATTTCTCTGCCAGAATTTTGACTTTTTTTTTTTTATAGTTAGTACTTTTAACAACATTTAAATTAGAACATTAGAGCACCAATCTAGTGTGAATAACATTCAAAGAAAACCTGAAGAAAATCCTTTGGAAAGTGGTTTTTTAATGATAATACCTAACTTTTAATACAACTTCTACATGTTAGTATTTTTTCTTATTGTGAACTTTGCTATAATGTTTGGTTATTTTAAATTATAGTCTAGAGGGGCCTGCTAGGTATTTGTTTTGGTACCCCCCCCCCCAAAATCTGTTGACTTTATTTATCCTATAAGGTGTTCTTTCAAAAAGCTCTAAAATACTCAAATCGGTACTCTAAATATTACACTGGTAATTATTCCACTAGTGTTATATAGTAGAAATGGTTCCCAAATAGTCATCACAGTACCTTCAATATAGTATATAACATTGTTCAGTGGATACAGTGGGTAATTAACTATTAATCCACAACAGATACTTGCCTTGGATTTAAATTTATGGACGAATACCCTATATTTTCTCAGAAGGTGAGGTACTTCAGATGAAACCTACAGGGAAGGTCTTATACAGAAACTTGAAAACTGCTTATCACGTTGTCTCCATGTCCCTCTGTGCTTCCTGGGCTATAGAACTCCAGCCTCGAGTCTCAAATTTAAATCTCTCCGACATACATCACTTTGGGCTTGAGGAAGGTGGGAGGGGCAGGCACTCTGGGCTCTAGATTGATTTTGGTAGACAAAGATGTGGCTGTGAACAATTTCAGGTAAGATTTTTTCCAGCTAACATTGAAAATAACATTCCCTGTCGAAAATCTCA